TTCTGAAGAAGGGTCTAGGCCCAAAACGTCAGCCTTCCTGCTCCTCTGATGCTGCTTGGCCTGCTGTGTTCATCCAGCTCTACACCTGGTTATCTCAGATTCTTCAGCATCTGCAGTTCCTACAATCGCTGCTTTGGTACAATGTCTGTTTTGAACAAAGTGTAAAATATAAAACAGAACTATAGGTGAACTCAGGCGCAGTCATTAAACATAGATTTACTCGTCATTTATATGCAATTCAGAAGATCAGCAGTTTACAACCATTTCATTATCAGGTGGGTTTGCACAATCAGGCATCCCTATCCCTTTCTTTCATCACAACTATTTGGCATGTGAGACTAAAACGGCCTCCTGATAAAGAAGCCCCCACTAACTCGTTCCTTATTGTCCCCTCTGCAGGAGGAAATTCCTCATCCAGACAAAGCTATCAAGACTGTGAATTCTGGTATGCTAAAACATCAAAAAAAAAAGGCTAATTGGGAATTTAAGAGCTGGATTTGAGAATCGGACATAGATCCAGCTCTCATGTGTGCATCACAGCCTGTGAGATACTGTGATCATAAATGCAACTCAATCCTTAATGTTAGGTTTGGTAATGTATCACTATTACTGTATAATCCAAATATATTATACCAATACTTTGCAGGTACCATTGCAATCAATCTTGCAAGTTACCATGATGCAATTTACGACTGTACAATATGATAATGCAATATTAAGGCTTTTAAATAATTGATATGACAGGCATGTTTACACTTAAAATACCTTTTATGCTAAAATGCACTTTGAATCCAGTTTGATTCACAGTAGTGTCTCCAGTGAACTAAATTGTGCCTGAATAAATGCATATTAGCTCAATACCATTTGACAGTCTGAAACAGATTGAACCTAACCTAGAAATTACATCAAAACCTTGTTGTTAACATGAAGCAAAACCACATCACATTAATGCAACAATTGTAGTAAAAATATAAACTGGATAGATGAATATTGAAAGAAAAGAAATTTTATCATGCAAAATAGCTTTGAGATGAGTGAACAAATACATGACACAGGTAAACTACTAAACTGACATCAAGTATCATTCACATTAATTACAAGTCATTCAAACTTTTATTAATAAGTAAGGAAATCAATTAGCTGTAGTTAGCTGAAGTGATTAACATGGAAATACAAAAGGATTTAATAGCCTATTAAAAAGACAAGATATACATTTTTGACATTTCAAGATCAAAAAAACTGCCAAACAGAATTCCAAAAAGAGGCACGTGTTTGCTTTGCTGTACATCTAATTGTCCTACTGGAGTCCGGATGTAAACTGATCACATCTGCAAAGTTTGTTTTACTGCAGAGTAAATCAGCCACATAGTACAACAACCCTACTTCACACCATCAGATTCAAGAATGTCTTCAAAATCATGATATGTCAGTTTCAGTGCAAGTCTGATACCTACATGATTAAAACTATTGATTGTTATTTGAAACTGACAGCAACACATGGAAGTTAGGCCATGGGCTTCAGCTTGTTGCAATTTGGAATAATTTTCCTTCAGTTGCTAATGTGTGGAATTTAAATAGTCACCAAACATAACTGATTTTGTTTCAAACAGAAATAAAAATGCAAGGTTAAAATCTCCACATTTTTTGGGCTCCTTGATGTCATGCCCCGAGAGTTTCAAAGGCAGACAGAAAGTGGTGTTGCAACAGTTTCCTTCTTTAATATTTGATGGAAAGAAAAAAATAAACTACTTGAGAACCAAAATTAATTATGCTTCATTGCTAGTTACACATTTCAAATGAACTTTCAAGCCTGCAGAATAAAAACAAATCAAACCAGAGCTCTGCTTCTCAACACTCAGCAGTTCGCTTAAATTTGTAAAATCAAACATATCCAGTTAGAAACATTAACAATTGACTTTCCAGACTCTGCAATTTTACAGTATAATTTCAGAGTATAGACCTGTATTATAGCTATGACTGCTGAAAGTGTAACATTTCTCACTGGCTTCTGAATTTTGGCAGGCAAATTCACAGGCACAAATTAAATATTAATTTCATGATAGTGCAATCTACCTCAAGATTAAAAGGACAACAAATCATGCTTGCTGTTTTTTTTTCCCTGTATGATCTCAACTAAACTACTTTACAAAGACCAATAGCATTGTCTGCAGCAAGTATAATCTATTAAAGACTTGTCATCTTTTCCAACTCCTACAGAACACAGCTACCTTCCCCCACATCCCCCAATCAGATATTCAACAGCATTTTCCTGCAAAAACAAAACCTCCCACTAAGAAATTTCTCTCACAAGCACAGGATTACCCACACAAAATGAACCTGCAAATGTTGTGACATGTCAGAAGAACATGACCGATTCCAACAATGTATTCTGTGACTAAAGTATAGGTCTGCGAAAACGGTGATCTGGCATTCCGCTGAAACGGCAATAACGTCCATTGCTGATGGCCCATTCGTGGAGATTAAGCTTGCGGAATGAATTTGCATTCCTCCTGCAATAATTTCTGAGAACAAAGTGTCACAACGTTACAACAAATTCTGTAGCACGTCATTCTCTGCAAGAAATATGCAACAAAAAGTAATCAAATAATTTTCCAAGTCCAACTCAGTTTTGCATTTTCTTTGGAAAGAAACAATGACTTGTGTAGGATTACTAGAACCAAAAAGTGATTATTCCCAATTATACAGACTTTGGTGCAGAAACTGAAAAATGTGATATTTTCATGTGGTTATCCAAAGCATTGTTCATCTCAGCTTCTCTCCTTTCAGGTTGCCAGCCTCTGTTGCTTCTTTCATTTCTCTCATTCCTTTCAGTATTCACTATTATAGTGCTATTTGATGGCTAAAGTGTAGAGCAATGCAAGAAAACAAAAAAAAAATTTAAAAATCTGCAGAGATAGTAGGAACTGCTGATGCTGGAGTCTGAGATAACAAGGTGTAGAGCTGGATGAACACAGCAGGCCAGGCAGCATCAGAGGAGCAGGAAAGCTGATGTTTCGGTCTGGACCCTTCTTCAGAAATGGGGGAGGGGAAGGGCACTCTGAAATAAATAGAGGGAGGGGGAGGCGATGATGTAAGGTGGATAGAGGAGCAGATAGGTGGAGAAAAGACAGACAGGTCAAGGAGGCAGGGATGAAGCCAGTAAAGGTGAGTGTAGGTAGGGAGTTGGGATGGGGGTTGGTCAGTGAGGAGGGAGGGGCGGGTAGGTGGGAGGAAAGATGGACAGGTCAAGGAGGCAGGGATGAGGCTCATAGGTAGGAAGTGGGGGTGGGGGTTGGTCAGTGAGGTGGGAGGAGTGGATAGGTGGGAGAAAAGACGGACAGGTTAAGGAGGCGGGGACGAGATGGGTTGGTCTTGGGATGAGATCAGAGGTGGTGAGATTTTGAAGCTTGGTGAAGTCCACATTGAGACATTGGGCTGCAGGGTTCCCAAGCGGAATATGAGATGCTGTTCCTCCAGCCTTCGGGTGGCATCGTTGTGACACTGGAGTAGGCCTAGGATGGACATATCGTCCAAGGAGTGGGAGGGGGAGTTTAAGTGGTTCGCAACTGGGTGGTGTAGTCGTTTGTCAAGAAACGAGCGTAGGTGCTTGATAAAGCGGTCTCCAAGCCTCCGCTTGGTTTCTGCGATGTAGAGCAGGCCATATCGGGAAAAGCGGATACAATATACCACATTAGCAGATGTGCAGGTGAACATCTGTTTAATGTGGAAGGTTTTCTTGGGGCCTGGGATGGAGGTGAAGGGGGAGGTGTAGGGGCAGGTGGGGAAGGTGGCGGTTGCAGGGAAAAGTGCCAGGGTGGTGGGGTTAGTGGGGAGTGTGGACCAGATGAGGGAGTCACGGAGACAGCGGTCCTTCCGGAAGGCAGAAGAGGGTGGGGAGGGAAAAATGTCCTTGGTCGTGGGGTCAGATTGCAGGTGGCAGAAGTGGCAGAGGATGATGTGTTGAATCCGGAGGTTGATGGGGTGATACGTGAGGACAAGGGGAATTCTGTCTTTGTTGTTATGGCAGGAAGGGGGTGTGAGGGCTGAGGTGTGGGAAACGTGAGAGATGCGGTCGAGGGCGTTTTCGACCACTGTGAAGGAGAAATTGCGGTCCTTGAAAAACGAGGACATGTAGGATGTCTGGGAGTGGAATGCCTTATCTTGGGAGCAGAAGGAATTGGGAAAAAGGGATGGCATTCTTGCAGGAAGGTGGGTGAGAGGAGGTGTATTCTAGGTAGCTGTGGGAGTCGGCGGGCTTGAAATTCTGCAGATGTCTAGAATTAGTTAGGAGTCATAGAAAGTCAATATGGCTGTTCAAAAAGCAGGTGGGAACTTTAGCTTTATAAATCTTAAGGCATTGAAAAATCTCCAATATTTTTTCAGCAATGTGGAAACCAATAATAAACAGTACTCCAATAGAGATGTTTAAAATTTAAACATCACCACCTCTTAGGAATTTATATTTTTTTCCTTAGTGATAAGGTCTATATTTTCACTAGATTTTCTCGTAGCCCCGAGATGAGTGTTTCAAATACCCTGAAAATATGCAACTCCAATCCTTTTTGCACTTACATACAGAAATGCCAAACCCATCCATTCTGGATGAACTTGGGATTTTATTCCAACAAAGTGCATCAACTCATGATTACTGAAATTGAATTCCATCTGTCACATTTTGAACAATTCTCCCAACTTAAATCAATATTCTTTTGGTCTTTTAAAGAATGAAGTACATTGCCAATTTTTGAGGTCATGATGTGAAGGTGCCTCTGTTGGACTGAGGTGGACAAAGTTAGGAGTCACATGACAACAGGTTACAGTTCAATAAGTTTATTTGAAATCACAAGCTTTTGGAATGTAGCCCCTTTGTCAGCTGAAGGTCCCTTCACCTGATGAAAGGGCGACACTGTGAAAGCTTGTGATTTCAAATAAACCTGCTGGACTATAACCTGGTGTCGTGTGACTTTTAAATTTTGGCAGGAACTGCAAACTTCGACACCAGTCCTTCCAAGCCAGCATCTAAATTGTTGATATGTAGAATGCACAAAAGATGCCACCAATCTAAAACATACTTTATTCCAAATAGGTTTATTTTCCAGTCTTGTCCAGTTTGCTGCCAGGTTTCTATTAATGCTAAAAAGTTTAGACCTTTTTTGGCAAAATAATTGCTTCTAGCTTTTCCAGTCTATATGCCACACTCTACAACATAGTAATACATTACTGGAGAGGAGAAGAGTTGCCAAAGTGCCTTGTCCCAGTAACAGAAGACCATTTCGAACTTAGCAATGTTTGAACTCAACCACTGATTTAATATAGCCTTTATTAAATGAACAGGCAAACAAAACAGAATGAACAAGGAGCAGACAAGGAACAAAAATTAGCAGGGTAAAAAATGGCTTCATGTTTTCAGGTTTACCTAGTGGTGAGATCTGATGGGTGCTGCCAAGTACTGGAATAATTTCTGTATTCTCTATCAGCCACCTGATTCATGAGGCACAGCAACTCTTGCATTGGTCCTGCAAAACAATTTATTTATTTATTTAAGGAGCAAAATTGGTATTTTATTCAGTTTTAAAATTTCAACATGCTGCACTCTTACATGGAGTCTTTTAAATTATTGTACATGTCTTTCTGTATTATAAGCGTTCACAGAAAATTGACTGTAGTTGACAGTCTCTGATTAAACGAGGGGTTTCCAAACTGTTGCCTGTGAACCCTGAGCCTCTTAAATTTCAGTGAATTCAGTCCTACTGTATAATTGGTGCTCTGGGTTATGTTGCATGAATTTTGTGGATCATTAATTTGAAAAAGGCTGTCTCAGTACCACTGCCTCATTGGTGGATGAATCGCAAATTAAATCTTCCAGTTCTGTTTTCAGCAGGCAGACGTATGTATGTAGAATAACTGAGCATGGGTTTAACTACGAAATATTTCCCTAAGATACCTTACTACATTTACAATAATCAGCTGAGAAGGTGGGAACAGACATTAACGTCACCTCCCTCAAAAACATGTGGGATTATATCTGTGATAAACAGAGAAATAGCCTCATTAAAAGCTGAAGATTGTAAAAAGAAAAATTCAGCACAAACAAAGCATATTTTCAAGCTGGTGAATATTCCATTCTCTGGTTAAGTGAAAGTTGCATCCTTAAAGGCACCAGATCCTGCCTCAACAATTTAATTTGCAGAAGTGTTCAAAAGAATGCATACAGACGAATAAATACAAGGCTCTTAAAACAAAAATCTTTGTTCAGTCTTGGCGTTCATTCAGAATTCTGTAGCTTATTTTGATATGCCAATAAGCAAAGTACTGTTACAGTAAATATATGGACTCCAGATCTAGCTATTGCAGCCTCCCTACTCATGTCATACAATAAATCACCCCCACCCAGGTCACAGCTGTCACTTCTTTTTTCTTTCACAGGATGAGGGCATCGTTGGCTAGGCCAGCATTTACTGCCCACTCCTAAGAGGGCAGGTAAGAGTCAACCACATTGCTGTGGGCCGAGGAACTTGTAGGCCCAGACCAGGTAAGGATGGCAGTTTCCTTCCCTAAAGGACATTAGTGAACCTGATAGGTTTTTCCGACAATCGGAAATAGATTCACGGTCGTCATTAAGTTCTTAATTCCAGATATTTATTGAATTCAAATTCCACCTTCTACCATGGTGGGATTCGAACCCAGGTCCCCAGAACATTATCTGGACCTCTGGATTAACAGTTCAGGAATAACACCACTAGGCCATCACTTCCCCTCACTCCTGTTGACGTGGTAATTTCACAACTTAAAAGTCTGCACGGACAGGTAGTGCAGGAATCCTCAGTACATCTAATTCTCGAACCAGTACTTGGTTCATCTGGGGAATGCAGAGAGTACCAAGTTTATGGCATCTCAGCTGTTCAGATGCACAGGGGTTCACAAACACGACTGGAAGAGCTATAGCGATGGAGGCTCGATAGTTAATGGAGCAGACCGGCATTTCTGAAGCCACATATAGAATGTTATGGAATGACTGCTGAGCACCCGGAGAGCGAGGGGCAGGGCAGGGCAGGCTGAGGGGGTGGGGGGGGGGGTGGATTGTACCCTGCAAAGTATGATTTTAGTTTTTAGATTTAGATTCTATTGTCACATATAATAAAGTGCAGAAGTACAGTGAAAAATGTACAATGTCATCACACACAGTGCTAGGCATGTGGCCCAAATATCTCAATGACTGACAGACCACATCTAATTCCCTCTGACTGTCTGCAGTAAGCAACATGCTGATTTGATCTCAACCAGCCTGTGCAAAACTCAGAAGCTAGGGCCCAGTGCCAGATGTGATTTGGCTTTTAGACAACATTTAGTAAATCATTCAGACTACGCTAAAATTTACCCTGAAAACAAAGTGGGACTCTTTGTCCAAATAATTTGTAAGTCATAAAAGCTACGTATATTCATATTTTAGAACTCTTCCCATCCTTGCCAAACAATGGGCTACCTTCAAAAGAGGAAATGGTTTTGGTACAGTCAAACTATATCCCTCAATAGGAAAAGGTAGGACAAACAAATCCAGACCTCCAAGCAACAAACAAGATACAAATTAAGTTAAAAGGAGAAAAAAAAACATGTTTATGACAGATGTCTGGCAGTAAATGCAATTGAGAACCAAGCTGATTGAAGAAGGTTCAGGAGAAAATGCAAATACAAGAAGCAAAGAGATTATATTTTAAAAAAGGACTAGTAGCTAACATAAAAGGAAATCCCAAAGTCTTCTATAAGCACATCAACTGTAAGAGGAGTAGAGTGATTAGAAATGAAAAAGGGGGTTTACTGTTCAAGGTAAAAGGCATTACAGAGGTGTTAGATGAATACTTTGCATCTGTCTTTAGCTATGAGGCAAATACTGCCCAGGCCAAGGTGACAGAGAAGGAAACTCAGTCAACTAGAAAAGGTTTAAAAATCAATAAGCAGCAGGTATTGGATAAGGTGTCAGTACTTAGACTTGATGAGAACCAGAATATAATCAACAATATTGGAGGAAGTGACAATGGAAATTGCAGAAGTGGCAACAATCTTCCCCGGATTTGAGGTTGATGCCAGAGGATTGAAGAATTGCCAAAGCCTTTGTTCCAGAAAATCTTTAAAAGATTGATGCATAATTGCTGGGCCAGTCAGATTAACTTTAGTGCTGGGGAAACTTTAAGAAACAATTATCTGTGATAGAATTAATAGTCACATGGAAAATTGTGGATCGATTTGGCAGAGTCAGCAGAATGTTAAGGGAAAGTCATGTCTAACTAACTTGGAGTGTTTTGAAGAGGTACCAGATACAGTAGATGGAGGAAAGGCTGTTGATGTGGTGTATATGGACTTCCAAAAGACATTTTATATGGTGCCACACAACAGACTTAAGAATCCATAGAATCCCCACAGTGTGGAAACAGGCCATTTGGGCCATTGAGTCCACGCTGACCTTCCGAACAGCATCCCACCCAGAGCTATTCCCCTACCCTATCCCTGTAACCCTGCATTTCCCATGGCTAACCCACCTAGCCTTCACATCCCTGGATACTATGGGCAATTTAGCATGGGCAATCCATCTAGCCTGCACATCTTTCGACCGTGGAAGGAAACCGGCAGACCCGGAGGAAACCCATTAACATGGGAAGAATGTGCAAACTCCACACGGACAGTCGTCCAAGGCTAGAATCGAACCCCAGGTCCCTGGTGCTGTGAGGTAACAATGCTAACCACTGAGTCACTGTGACACCCCAGAACAATTGTAGGCCATAGAATAAGAGGGACAGTAGCAATGTGTATACAAAACTGAGCGATAGGAAACAGAGTGTAATAGTTAATTAGCATGTTTCAGGTTAGAAGGGGGTTTGTAGCGAGTTCTCCAGGGGTCAGTACTGAGACCCTTGCTTTTCCTGATATATATTTACAATCTAGACTTGTGTGCAAAGGACAACTTCAAAGTTTGTGGATGACATAAAACTCGGGAGAACTGTAAACAGTGAGGAGGACAACAGCATAGGACTTCAAAAGGACATTGACACATTGGTGGACTGGGTGAATAGGTGACAGATAAAGTTTAAAGCAAAGTGTAAGGCGATGCACTTTGATACAAAGAACATGCAGAGACAGTATAAAATAAGGGTATTATTCTAAAGAATGTGCAGGATCCCAAAAACCTGTGTGCACATGTACAGAATGCATTAAAAAGGTGGTAGGACCAGAAGGCAGAGCTGTTAATAAAGCACATGACATTCTAGACTCCATAGAGAATTAGTGTACAAAAGGAGGAAGTTTGTGATAAACTCATTTAAGACACTAGTTCAGCTCCAGCTTGAGCTTCATTGAGAGTCTCACACCAGACTATGAATGCATTGGACAGAGTGCAGAAGAGGTACACAGGAAAACTTCTAGGGATGAATCAATTCAGTAACGATAGGGTTTTCAACATCACGACCGGCCCGGACAGAGCTGATATGCGTGAAAACAGTTTCTCCCTAAATGGATCGAGAACTAGAGGGAACAGTTTTCAAGTGAAGCAAATGAGAGGTGAGAAAGAATGTTTTCACTCAGGACATAGTTAGGGTCTGGAATGCACTGCCTGGAAGTGTTGTGGAGGCAGGTTCAATTGAGGCAAGAGGAAATTGGATTATTAAATATAAATAATGTGCACAGTTACAGGGGAAAAAAAGGTAGGAGATTGGCATTAAGCTAAAAAGGTTAGTCAGCAGCAAAGATAGGATGAGATGAATAACTTCATTCTGCACTATACCATTTCTGTGATTCTATAGGACAACACCCTGACCAAGTCTACCTGCCTGTTCTGAGGTTAATCAGTTGACTAAAATTGACAGTTCACAGGTCCAGATCATCACCCTCCTCTCAAGTTGTAGAAATTGGTATTTTGGGGGCTCGTGTGGCGCACGGGTACTGTTCTTACCTGTGGGCCAGGAGACCTGGGTTTAAATCCCACCAGCTCCAGAGGTCTGTTATAACATCTCTGAACAGGCTGATGAGAAAATAGCTACAAATTGGTGCTCCCGTTCAAAGTTCATCCTAGTCCAGAGGAGTAAAAGGTGAAAAGACTTGATTTTATGTTTCTTTTTCAGCAATTTCAGGTTCAGTATTGGCAAGTAATGTTTGAATTGTCGGAGAGTTGGATTGCCAGAACCAATTCCATTGTTCCTATCACAGATATGTACATCAGTTTTTTTTATGCTTCCAAAGCAAACAGCTTCATATTGCAGCAGCAGATGGAAGTTGGGAGAGCTAGAGTATTAAGTTGCAGCTCTTTTATTCTAAACAGGAGAGAACATGGGGAATTGCTGACTGTCAACAGACAGCAAGGTTTTACATGAGAACTGTTCAATTGTCAAGAAAACAATTTAAAGAATCAGACTTGGGGAAGTCAATGTGGTCAAACAGATTTCCAAATTTATGCACGAAATAATAATTATCTATAATGTTTGCACACCCTTGCAGGTTTGTTCCTCCACATCCATCGCACTGACTGATAGCCAATCGACTACACAATGCAATTTAATTATACAATTTTTATTCCTTAGCTCGAAACAAATTGATTCTGTCCTTCAACTTTCTGGGACATTTTCCTTTTCTGGCACTGCAAAACACTTCTGCTGAGTTCGTTTAAATCCTCTCCAACACTACTAGCAAAACAGCCCGCAGGAACTTGTCCCCCACTCTGTTTAAATGCAATCATCCAGCTTGTAGAGTGGTAACATTCCCCCCAAAGCCAGTGCAGTGTCTAAAACACTTCCTGCTGCATTATCTTTCCAGTCATGCATTCATTGTTTTATCTTCCCATTTCTATTACGGGAGATTGGGAGTAATCCAGAGATTATTATGTTTGAGGTTCTGATTGTTAATTTGCTACTGGACCACATCCCTTTTCTGCCCATGTTGTTGGTACCACAATGTGGTCCACGAGTTCTGGCTGATCACTCCCCAAAATGAAAGCATCCACAGTGAAATATTTAATCCTTGTAACCAGGAAGTAACATACTATCTTGTCTATGGATGCAGAAACACCTGTCTATTTCTCTAACTTAAATATGTCCTCCATCACTACTGCTCTTCCTGTTCTTCCTATACAGTTGAGTCACCTGAATGCCACAGGCTTGGTTCTTGCTGTATTCCTCTAAGGCGCCATTGTCCTCAATGGTTTGGAGAACCAAAGACAATTTTCTGGCAAAATAAACAAAAAAGGACTCCTGCATGACCCATCCAATTCCCTTGGATGGCCTGGTGGTCACCAATTTTACAAGCACCTCTTTTCCTCAACTCACCAAACTCCCAACTTTCTTTACAAGTTGCACTCTCTTAAGTTGCACTGAGATGACATATTTATAGACGTATTAACACTAAAGTATTAGGCGAGAGTGAGTTACAAAACAAAACTGTTCAAACTAGTTTCCTTAATCAACTAACTCCCACCTGGTTCACAGTGTATAGTTTCTAGATTCTTGCTTAGACCCCTGAATTTAAACAGTAACGTTCCATTTAATTTAGATAGTGGGACAGGGATTGAAATTCCCTCAATTCACCAAACTGCCAACGCTCTGTTCAAGATGTACTTTGGCCATGTTACATTTTAAAGGACTATAAAGCCCAAAGAAACTCACAGGCAAAGGGGAACAGAACATGGAGGCGGGGTGAGGGGTGCATGGGGGCGGTGGAGAAAATGACAGACAATATTTGAGACGTATTGGACTACCTCTTCTTTGCAATCAAACTAAACCAAATTACGCAGAATGTGTTTGACGTCACTATCTGTAAAGAAAACTTTTCCAATCATGGTTTAAACTCATTACAAAACAAGATGACTTTACAAATGAAAGTAAGCAAATTTCTATGCCCTCTGCTTCAGAAGATCAGATTTTTTTCCCCTCTTTTCAATAATGTAGCATTTATAGTTCACAAAATAAAGGATGATTCAAAAGTCCAAAGCATTTTTTGAATTCAGACCTTATTTCAGATTTTTGTAAGTTACCTTGAATCCTTTGACCATTGTTTACATGGTGTGAAACGAGCCGAAGATATAAATCCTTCCTTCGTTCTATTTCTTCATCTGACATCCAAATCATTCTGAAAGAGGGAGAAAAGAAACTTTAACTCAGCTAATAATCTGGGGCAAGACTATGTTTCCACATTTCAATTAGTTAGAAAACATTCAAGACAACATGTGCATGCTGGAGAAATCATGTGTTCTATTGTTCTCACACATCAAAATATACATCAGCAACATGAATGCCAAGTTGGCATACAGCAATGCTCCCACCTACAGGCTGCACTGAATAATGAACTTAATGGATAAAGGCACACAAAACAAACTGATATGCAAAAATGGTTATCAATACAATAGCAAAATAGCATTTTCTCGATAGTTCCAGACATTATGAAATGGTCACTAAGCAATGTAACTGAGGCCATGCTGACTACATTCAACAAACAACTGTTGTGCATGTTTAAAGGTAATGTTGCCATAGTTTTACCAGACTAAAGAACTGTGAGACAGAGACAGACGGGACTGGTATCACGGAGAGGTTGAGTACTGAAATCCTAAATGGAAAGAGTTAGAATGTTGACTACCATTACATTACAGACAAATAACCTGTTGTATCTGTGTTGCAGGGAAGCTGTGACAATCACAACTAGCAAATGTTTGCACTTGTGAATTAATTCTGTCACTGCTTACCTTGTACTCTGCCTTGTTTCGTTATGCTCTTCTGTTTTGTTGTCTGGATTATGTGTCTGCAAATTCTTTTTGACAAGTTCTACGTTACACTGCTTGTGCTTTCTGGCATTCGATTTACAAGATGATCGTGTCTTTGCCATAAAGGAAAGAAAATATACATACATCCATAAATACACACAATATGACTAAAATAAAAGCTTCAGAGAACAAGCAACTGAGGGGAAGAGACCAAGAGAGTTACTGATATCCATCTCAAATCCATAATCTGAATTATTCACCCAATTAGTTGCCTCCAATCAGTGACTGAAAGACTGTATAAATAGTGTGCCAACCACCCTGTGTCTTTTGCAAATTTCTGAAAGAACCTGTAAAGAATACGCTTAGAGATCAGAGAGTCTTGTAAGAAGCAATAGGGATCTCGTCAAATACTGTAGACTAGTGCTACTAAAGTATGTTTTCACAGTTTTTCTTTCCCTCCACCCAGAACATCCATGCTTGTTTGTTTGTCTGTATGTCTGTGTGGGTGTTTAAGGAGGGATTTAGAGCTTAGTAGAATTATATGTAACAACTCATATTTTTGTTTGCTTGTGATTGATTTATTTGTAATTAATAATAGTTCACGTTAAGTACAAAACCTGGTCAGTGTTTTCTACTAAACAGCCCATCAGGCTGGTAAATTGGAGACTGAGTAATTTGATTAAATCTTTAATGTTTGTGATGACCCTGGCAGAAGTGGTGCTTGAGTATCACTTTCCACAATGAGCTGTAAAAAGACTCATATCTAGAATACAGATAGTTTCATCCCCACCTCCTTGACCTGACACAACCTGTCCATCTTCTCTCCCACCAATCCGTCCCTCTCACCTCACTGAACAATCCCCACCACTCCCTACCTGCACTCACCTATCACCATCCTACCTACCTTTCCCAGCCCCACCCCTCCTCTCTCTATTTATTTCCGAGCTCCCTTCCCGTTCCCCATTTCTGAAGAAGGGTCCCAGCCTGAAATGTCAACTTTCCTGCTCCTCTGATGCTGCCTGGCCTGCTGTGTTCCTCTAGGTCCACATTGTGTTATATCTAATACCTAGAATATGGGGGTTGTTTTAGGAGGACAAGCTGGGCAGATTAAGCTTGTATCCACTGGAGCTTAGAAAGGCAAGAAGCAACTTGGTTGAAACTTAGAAGATCCTGAGGGATCTTGACAGGGTGATTTGGAATGGATGTTTCTTCTTGTGGGAGAATCTGAAACTAGAGGTCACTGTTAATAAATAAGGTGTCACACATTTAAGACAGAGATGAGGAGTGTATTTTTCAGAGAGTCAAATAGTTTATTCTGGAACTCTGTCTTAAAATAGGTGTTGAAAGCAGAGATCACCAATATTTTTAACATGGAGGTAGATAAGATCTTGCTAAGGAACTGGGTGAAACGTTTTCACAGGTAGGCAAAAATGTGGAGTAGTTCAATCAGCCATGATCTTATTGAATGACGGAGCAGACTTGAGGGCTCAAGTGGTCTATTTCTGCTCCTAATTCATACTTGTGTGCACTCATATGACCACAAAATCCTTAACACGAGAAAGTGTACAGAGGAGAGTAGAATTAAACTAGAGAGGCAAGCAAAGAAGAATGTCAGCACGCTTAATATGTATTATGAGCAAAATTTTATCTTTCCATAATCATTCACTCGCAATATAAATGAGTTGAAATTGTATTTTTCATATTAAAGACAGACTACCTTAGTTTAGGATCCAATGGATTTGGACCTAAAGCACAAAACCAATCAAATTGAAGACAAGATCGTCCATCATATTACTTAAGCCAATGATTGTGTTCTAAATCAACTGCTTTGTACAATGCCAGTTTAATAGTCTCACACTGTAGACAGACACACAATGAACTGCGTGTTCATGTTCGTTCGATCGATCATTTCAGCTGTGCTACACAAATTCACTGAATAACCCACAGGAAAATCTCACTCAATGACACAAGGAAAGCATTATGGCTCACTTACCTTTCGTTTCTTGACTGCATTGCCACGGTGTACAGGAAAGCTGACATTTTCTTTCCCATTAGCATCTTTGGCCTTTTCTCCAAAGAACGTTACAACTCTTTCAGAAAACTTTTGTTCGCACAACATTAATTTATTGTGATCTTTCAGCAAATTTGGTGAGTGGCTCGCTGACTTAGCTATGAGTGTTTTGCCCAGATCTGCTCCATTTCCTGCATGGTTTCTTTCATTAACTCTTCCACTTCCAGAAGTTGGTGCTTGGCTGAACAAAGCAAATTCCTCATGGGATAAGTGATAAAGAAGATCTGAGTTTTCCATGTCACCCCTTCCACGAACAGAACTGCGATTACGCTCTTCAGGATTGAGACTTGGATTAGCTTCTTGCTCCACCATACAGTGAAATCTGTTGATGACACATCATATAAATAACTAGTTTGCATGTCACAACATTCAGCACCTTTCGTGACTCCTCAGATACTGAAGCAGTCCATGTTCACATGCAACAAGATCTGGACAATAGCCAGGCTTGGGCTGACAAGTGGCAAGTGCCATTCATGCCCCACAAATGTCAGGCTATGGCCAATAAGAGACAATTTAACCACCATCCCTTGACATTCAACGGTGTTACCATCACTGAATCCCTCACTATCAACATCCTGGGGGCTACCATTGACCAGAAACTCAACTGGACTCACCACATTACACAGAGCGGCTACAAGGGCAGGCTAGAAATTGGGAATACTGCAGCGAGTAACTCATCTCCTGACACCTCAAAGCCTGCCCACCATCTACAAGGCACAAGTCAGGAGTGTGATGGAATACTCCCCACTTGCCTGGATGAGTGCAGCCCCAACAACACTCAAGAAGCTTGACACCATCCAGGACAAAGCAGCCCGCTTGACTGGCACTACATCCACAAACATTCACTCCCTCCACCACCGACGCTCAGTGGCAGCAGTGTGTACTATCTACAAGATGCACTGCAGAAATTCACCAAAGATCCTCAGACAGCACCTTCCAAACCCACGACTACTTCCATCTAGAAGGATAAGGGCAGTGGATATATGGGAACACCGCCACCTCCAAGTTCCCCTCCAAGTCACTCACCATCGTGACTTGGAAATATATTGCTGTTCCTTCTTGTCACTGGGTCAAAATCCTGGAACTCCCTCCCCAATAGCATTGTGGGTCGATTCACAGCAGGAGGAATACAGTGATTCAAGAAGGCAGCTCACCACCACCTTCTCAAGGGCAACTAGGGATAGGCAAGAAATGCTGGCCAGCCAGCGACTCCCACATCCCACAAAAATGAATAGAAAAAAAAAAATCAATAACAAAGGCAGCTTTCAGGTCAATTTAATGTATTTGGGGAAAGACAAATAGAACAGATTGTCACGAACATTTAGATGCTCAGTATTTTATCAACTAATTATTTGCATCGCATTTCATAACAGGTGAAATGGCAGTATCAATATTATAATCATCTGATTCCTTTAGATTCATATTTACATCCTTAATTGTAAAATCTGTCCCACTCTTACCCCATGTCACACACTGATCAAGGGATATGGATTAAAAATAGAGCAATGGATTAAAGATCCGGTTTCCTCCCACAATCCAAAGATGTGCAGGCTAGGTGGATTGGCCATGCTAAATTGCCCGTAGTGTTCAAGGATATGTAGATTAGGTGGGTTATAGGGGGATGTGTCTGTGTGGGATCTCTAAGGGTCGGTGTGGACTTGTTGGGCCGAAGGGCCTGTTTCCACACTGTAGGGATTCTATGATTCTATGACTAAATGAAGCCAAAACATGGATAAATTTAAAAGCAGAATTAGGTTATTCAGCCTTTCAAACCTGCTCCTTGATTCAATAAAATCATGGCTAAATTGTTTGTGTTCTGAATTCCACATTCTGATCTACCCCCATAACCCTAATTCCTCTGCCTTACAAGAACCTACCCTGGTCTTAAAAATATTCAACAGTCCTGCCTCAGGAAGCAGAGAATTCCACAGTTGCACAGCCCTCAAATAAATTTCCCTCATCTCTGTCCTAAATGAGCAAACTCTAATTTTAAAATATTGTCCTCCAGATCTGGACTCCGACAAAAAAGGAACTATCCTTTCCATGACTACCTTATAAAGATCCCAAATGGATTTGGCAACCAAGTCACCCCTCACACTTAAAAACTCAAGTGGAAACAAGCCCAGCCAATTCAACTTTTCTTGTTAAGCCAACTTGCCCTTTCTGTATATAAATCTAGCAAACTTTCTCTGAAACTGCCAACATACGACCTTAAACAAGGAGACTTGCACGATTCAAGATGTAGTTTCACCAATGTCCCATGTAACTGAAGCTTAATATCCTGACATTCATGTTTCATTCCTCTTGACATAAGGAATACCATTTCATTAGCTTTCTTAATCACTTACTGTACCTACATACTAACTTGTAACTCATGCACTGAAATACCTAGATCCTACTGTATCTCAGAGTTCTGCAGTTGTTCTGTTAAATAATATTGCCTTTTTATTCTTCCTATCAAACTGAACAACTTCACATTTTCCCACATTATACTCTATCTGCCAGATTTTTGCCCATTCACTTAAGGTTGCAGGCTGAGAAATGTAGTTCATCTTCACACCATCCTTTCCTAGTTATTTTTGTGTCATCTGCAAATTTAGCTACCATGCCTTCGTTGCCCTCAGCAAATTTAGCTACCATGCCTTTGTTGCCCTCAGCTAAGTCACAAACATAAACTGTAAAACATTGATGGCCACCACAGATCCATGCAGGACGCCACTCATCACATTCTGCCAATCTGAAAAAGTCCCACCCATGCACACTGTTTTCTGTTAACCTTTACTAACGTACTAACTAGTACGTTACTGCCTACACAATGAGCTTCTGCTTTATGCACAGAATCAACTGGAGGCATGATGCAACTCACTACTGCTACTCTTTCCCTAATAGTCCTGCAAATTATTCCTGTCAAGTAATAATTTCACTTGTGTTACCTTTAAATCCCAAGCCATATCAAGGACCACATTCAAAGTCCTATTAAATGAAAGAAGTTAAAAATGTATATACAAATACTGAGACTTTTTTTTTATCTTGTACTAGGACTGGTCATTTGACCCATGCTAATCTCAAAGGCTCAGTATGCTCCATATTCCAAACTTGTATTTTTTCTCACCTACCATCCCACTAGCAACCACATCCACAGGATCATTAGCTGCCATTTCCGCCACCTCCATCGGGCTGGCACCACCAGACACATAATCCTCTCCCCCCATTTATCAGCCTTCCACGGGACCATTCACTCCTGGGCACCTTGGCCCACTCCTCCTTCACTCCCAACACATCCCCACAGCTCACACACCTTCCCCTACAACTGGCAAAGGTGTAACATCTGTCCATTTACTTCCTCCTTCCCCAGTATCCAAGGGCCCAAACATACTTTCCAGGTGAAGCAGTGCTTTACCTGCACTTCACTCAATCTAGTCTACTGCATTCACTGCTCACAATGTGGTCTTCTCTACAATGGGGAAACAAAGTGCAGACTGGGTGACTGCTTCGCAGAATATGTACGTTCTGCACGCAAAAAAGACCCCAAGCTTCCAGTTGCCTGCCACGTCAACACACCACTGTGTTACTTGGCCAACATCTGTGTCTCAGGATTGCTGTAGTGCGCCAGCAAAGTTCAGTGCAAGCTGAAAGAACAGCCCCTCATTTTCCGCTTGGGAACTGTGCAACCTTCTGGACTTAACATCGAGTTCAACAATTTTAGGGCTTGAGCACTTTCCCCCACTCTCACCCCCAGACATCAGGCCTTGTCATCATATGGTCTGCAACCACACACTATCCATTAGCAGCTATTCATTTTCCTCGGCTCTTCATTATCCAAATGTGTTTTTTTCTCTTTCTCTCCCTCTCTCTCTCTCCCCCTCTCTCTCTCCAGGCTCCATCTCCACCTATTGTTTACTCCTCCTTCTTCTCTCCACGTATCTTCTGCACAAATACCAAACATTTCCAGCTACCATCAGTGTTAAACGTTAACTCTGATTTTTCTTCACAGATGCTGCCAGACCTGCTGAGTTTTTCCAAAAAAATTCTGTTTGTGTTTCTGATTTCCAGCATCTGTGGAGAGAAATCAGAATTAACGTTTCGGGTCGAGAGACCCTTCCTCAGAACTGCAGTTATTTCGTTTTCTTTCCCCCCCATTTCGGCTCCAAAACTCTTTCTTTTCGTGGGTGAACTACACTGTCAAACCTGTAGGAGACACTCAATGAGGTGAATTCCCAGGTCACAATAACATTATTGTACCTCTGTGAACAGAATCTTTTCTTACCCACTCAGTTGCAGAATGGCTCGGAGTTCAAATTCGGCTCATTACATATCATTCAGGCAGCTGCATATTATTAGAGGTGGGAGAAACAACAATTTCCAGATGTTTTAAGTTTTTACAAACCTTACAAAATGTTGATTCACACTTTAAGCTACCGACTAGCACAACGAAAGACACCTACCAGGATATTTCTACATTAGCATAAAGCACACCAAACCTGGCGAATTTTCCAAAGACTTTCACCGACCAACACATAATGAGCACTGGAACCTCCAGGTTTTACTTTCACCTCGTCCTAATCTTTTAAAAAAACAGTAACTAACTCTCTTAATACCACTGCTTCCAACTTGCCCCGTTCAAAGCGACTGCAGGCTGCGCACGCAACCCATAGACAAGGGTGTTAGGCCATTCGGCCCACAGCGTCTGCATTCTGGTGTTGCCAGGCTCCTCATGCAGTCCTCACTTGTAACCTCTATCATGGATCCTGTTCTCTGAGTTGGAGGGAGACATGAACTTTAGTTTAGACATGTTATCCGTGTTGATGACCCTCTAAGAAGTGAACATACTTCACTCTGCGAAAGGTCTTGATGGTAAACTGAGGAATCCCTGTTGAGTGAGGTTTGTGATTATAAAACTATTTACGTGTATAAATAGTTAAATCTGCTGCCTGCGAGTTACTAAAAAAAAGGCTACACCAGTATTAGCCAGACTCTATCATTGAAGTGACAGTGATTGGTTACACAGTTTAAAGGTATTTCATTGGCTGTCAAGCACTTTTATGACATCTGGAGGTGCTATAAATACAACTTCCTGTTAGTTTAGAGAGATAGAAAATAAGTTTATCTGCAGTGGAGGGATTTTTAATTTCATAAGTAAAACAAAACTGTGAAATGAACAACATATTTTAATATAAATTGTTCCAAAACACTTCACGGGTACATTACAAAACAAAATGCTGGTCTAAGATATATTAGGTCACATGACTAAAATTTTGGTAAAGGAGGTAGGATTTAAAGAATACCGAGAAGGGGAAATGTAACATAGAGTGACAGAAATCTATAGGAAGGGAAATCCAGTTCTCATAGGGCACAGGTAACTCCAGGTATATCACCAATGAAGGAATGAACCTATACGAACATAAGAGTTAGGAACAAGAGTAGTCCCTGAAACCTGCTCTGTCATTTAGTAGAGTTGATCTGATTGTAACTTCAAATCCACATTCCTGTCTACAACTGGTAACTTTTCACCCCCTTTGCTTAACAAAGATCTATCTTAAAAATATTCAAGGACTCTGCTTCAACTACCTTGTCAGGAAGAGGCTTCCAAAGACTTTGCTACCCCCGAGAAAGGAAAAAAACAACAGCTCATCTTTGTTGTAAATGGTCAACACTTTATTTTGAAACAATGACCCCTAATTTTAGATTTTCCCAGATGAGAAAGCATCCTCTCCAAATCCAGTCTGTCAAGATCCCTATCTTAGTTGTTTCAATCATATTATCTCTAAACTCCACTGCCTACAAGTTTAGGTTAGACAATCTTTCCTCATAAGACAACCACTACACCCCCCACCTTCCCCCATCACCACCATCATTCCAGGTATTAGTCCTGTAATCTTCTCTGCATTGCTCCAATGCATTGACATCCTTCCTGAAATAAGGTGAGCAATCCTGTGCACATGCTCCATACATGGTCTCACTAGTGTCCTGTATAATTGAAGTAAAACCTCCCTAATTTTGCATTCAGTTCTGCCTGTGATAAATTATAACATTCGATTAGCTTTTCTAATTATTTACTGTACCTGAATACTAACCATTCATGATTTATGCACATGGACACCCAGATCCCTCTGCATCTCTGAGCTCACTCACCATTTAGATAATATGCTTCTTTATCACTTTCCAAGCAAATTGACAGTTTCCCATTTTCTTAAATCATTTTCCATTTGCCACATCTTTGCCCATTCACTTACTCTATCTATATCTTCTTGCAGCTGCCTTAACACAGAGGGAAAAACAACAGTAATGCTTGAAAGTTAACACTGATTGTATTGGAACTGCATTTTGAAATATACCAGATAAGTTGGACCGTTATGTATTATTCACAGGTTTTACTGTTTTTTAACCCCTCTGGGGTGTCCTCTTCATAAGTTACTTTACTACCTATCTTTGAGTCACCAGCGAATCTAGGGATACTCAAGAAGCCAGAATGTTGTGGCGCTGAAATTGATTACAGAGATTAGGAACGGATGAGGCCCATCGAACAATTTCTAGTCAAGGGGAGAATGTTAAAATTGAATTGTTGCTTGACCAGGAGCCAATAACAGTCAATGAACACTGATAATATGTAAACTGGATTTGATGCAAAGTACAAAGGAGAAAGTGAATGATAAGGAATAAGATAGAGGAGCAAAGAATGGATGGGGAATGAAAAAATACAAAATGAATGAATGTAAGTGGAAGTGTACTTGTTTCATGGCATCAGTTTGTCAATTGCAGTTTCTTCTCCTTCCAAATCTGTATCCAACTACTGAGGCAGCAGACTCAAAGGCACCAGTAAACAATTTGATTGGTGAAGTAACGAAATTAGATCATTGTAAGAACTCTAATTCGATTATTTTTGCATTCAGTAGCTCTGAATGAAAGAAATTATGTCAAGATAATCAACAAACAGCATTGGCATCAAAATACATTTTAACCATTATTACAGGCTCTGGTACAAACACTTTTAAATTACCATGGGAAATTTCTAATTTAGACCTTCCACTAGGGACCTTGATTTGAAGACTCCTCTCCCTCAGGGATGCTCCACTAAACCAGGCCACACTTCAGACATGAGATAATTTAAATACAGGAGACACGTTTCCATTCTCCAGAAGACATTGCAGTGGTTGAAGAAGTTAGGGAGACAGACTCAATGTAAGCTGGACCTGGAATTTGTCCAACTTAGGTCACCACTTGAGGCTTCTGAGGCCTGAACACAGTTGTACTTACAAAGGATTCTCAGGTTTTCCTCTAGGGCTCTTTGCACCAACTGGTCATTGTTGACACCAATATGATATTAGTTGCTCCTGCATCTAGTGGAATCAATGTGAAACATGGAACAGATTATGCTTCATTCATTTGCACGTACTTATTACTACCAGATTCTCTAATAAAACGGCTCACTGGGAAAGAGTGGTGCAACAGGATAGCAATGGAGAATTGCTTCCAGACAGTCTGGGAGAATTGGTCCATCTGTCCTGTCATAAACATGTCTCTTGTTTATACTAAAGTGTTGGTTATTTTGTGGAGGAAATGGCTTAGTGGTATTAGCGCTACAATATTCATCCAGAGACTCAGATGATGTTCTGGGGACCTCGGTTTGAATCTTGTCATTGGCAGGTGGTACAATTTGAATTCAATAAAAGTCTGGAATTAAGAGTCTAATGATGAGCATGAAACTGTTGTCAATTGTCTGAAAAACCCATCTGGTTGACTAATTTCCTTTAGAGAGGAGACTGCGATCCTTACCTGGTCTGGCTTACATGTGACCTGAGGCCTACAGCAACTGCCTTCTAGACAATAAATTTTGCCCACTCCAGTGAATGAAAAAAAAATTAATGGAGTAAAAATCAGGTATTGCAATGGGTATTGCCACACAAATGAACCTTAATCCACAACAAATAAAAGCATTTTTACACAGACAACTTCAACAAGCAAGAGAAAAAGAACTGAAACTGCTGGACATCTGAAATGAAGAGAAAAGTTGTTGGGAACACACAGAACCCTCTCAGTTGCCAAGAAAAATAAATCATAGAATCCATAGAGTCCCTACAGTGTGGAAACAGGCCATTTGGTCCGTTGAGCTGACATTGACTCTCCAAAGAACATCACATCCAGACCCACCTCCACCCTATCCTCATAACCCTGCATTTCCCATGGCTAGTCCACCTATCCTGGACATCCCTGAACACTATGGGTAATTTAGCATGGCCAATCCACCTAACCTGCACATCTTTGGACTGTGGGAGGAAACCGGAGCACGTGGAGGAAACCCACACAGACAGGGGGAGAACATGCAAACTGCACACAGACAGTTGCCGAGACTGGAATCAAACATGGGTCCCTAGCGCTGTGAGGCAGCAGTGCTAACAACTGAGCCACTGTGCCGCAGAGCAAAATTTCTGTTGTACATTCTTCAACAACTGGAAATTTCATTTAAGGCCTAAACTTAAATAAACTATCTAGAATAAACTATAAACCATATATATCCCACTGAATGGTTCAGGTTATCTACCCATAAATTGTACAACCAAATTCTGCTGATATCCAGATCCCACTAACCCCATTATAAACCCAAGAGGCATTTCAAAAGTGGTCCTACCCAACCTTTTCACTTTCTTTTGTTCAATGGATTCATTCTGCAATCACTATATTTGTTTTACAGAACTCCAAATCAAAAAGTAGATATAATTAAAATTAAAAATATAGCTGCTAGAAAAAAATACACCACAGGTCAGCAACTACCAGTACTGTTGATTTCTATCAGACATTCTTGAAGGTAAGTTCTGTCTCTATTTAATGGTATTTGCAAATCATTTTGATTTGCTTCCAACATTTCCCTTGCCATATTCATGGCATGTACTTTCAACTAGACAACTTGGTGCTGCTACAAACTTAAACTACTTAAATGCTAAAACCTAAATCCATGACCATCCTAGATACATTTGGCTGGCAATTACGTCTCAATCTTTTTCTTGCAAAGAATTAACTTTTCAACCTTTATAAGTCATAGCATTTTTGCAGCAGTCAATTTCTATACTCTTTTAACCTTTAACATCTGTCTTGCAATTCCACATGTCTGGAATGATTGTATGGGACTTTATATAGAGGAATGGAGAAGCTCATCATCTATCTACCATCAAGGATCTGTTTTCTCCAGTGCAGAAGCTTGATGTTTATTTAGCCCTTGTAACTAGCGCAGATCAAAAATGAAAATTACCACTCTTCAGGTTGAAAGCAATCATTGCTACAAAAGAGCTTTTCTTCGCAAAGCACTTCACAATTGGACTTACGTAGGAAGAGGATTGTGCCAACCTTCTTAAAATTTAGATTTTCTAACCTAGTAAATTCATGGGGTATCATTTGTTAGTAGTTGCAACATTTGTGCTGACAGTGATGGATGTTTTATTCCTTTAGTATTAGATGTATTTTGTATGCTTTCCAAAATATCAGCAAACATATTTGCCATCATTGTTCAGTATTCATAAACAGATCACAGAACTTGCTTTATGTGATCCATTTTATAGGA